AAGGATCCAGACCCAAAACGTCAGCTTTCCTGCTCCTCTGATGCTGCCTGGCCTGCTGTGTTCATCCGGCTCCACACCTTGTTATCTAAGAGCCTCAATGATACGTGTATATTGAAGGTCAATTAACACAATGCCAGCACATTCCTGCAAGAATTCTTCAGGTTAGATATTTTTAATCAATATGTTCAGACATGCCTCTGGGGAATGTGGGACTTCAACACAAGCCCTCTGGCTCAAAAGGTAGGTACACTGCCACCACACTACAAAAACTCCACTTTATAGGTGCTTAAGTAGCCACACAATGTCCTCCACCTGTATGTATTTAACCTCAACTCATACAATTAACTTGGTAGCGTCATAAACAATAGCACAGTGAAAGGGATGGCGAATATAGTCTGGAGTTGTTTACACGCTGCCAAATCACCATCTCAGCTTTCTTTTTCCTCTTTCCATTTTTTATAGATCAGGGAAAACTGGTCAGTAGCTGATGGGACTTGTTAAAACACATTTTTCACCTGCACTACTCTTTCCTACAACTATAAAAGTGGGGCAGGGAGCAAACAGAAACCAGATCACAAAGCTGCTAGGGGATTTTTGTTTTGTTTTGGATATAAAATTTCAGGGACCTATTCTTAAAAAAAAACAGCAACAAATTTTGAACAAACTGTACAGCTTCTCTAAAACACTTTCTGGGGTTTTAAAGCAAATTTCCCATTTATAGATTGGAGAAGCCTTGATATTATCACAAAGACATAAAAGTTAAAGCTTGCTCAAAAATGAATGCGTAGGGCATGGAGAAACTATTTCATACAAATAATTTTGAGTCTCATTATAATTAAGCCAGAAAGGCATTGACATCTAATGAGCATTTATTGGAAGTTCATTGGAAAAGCAGACTTGAACAATGGACTTCTACAACCCCAGATATGGTCCTTAAGCAACCTTCAAAAAGGAGTTAAAGATGGAGTAGTGTAGGGATGAGAGTCATAGTGGTCCACAGCCTACCGAGTCTGCATTGGTCAAAAACAAGCACTTTCCAGCACTTGACCCACAGCTCTGTTTGCCTTGGCATCACAAGTGAACATTGAAATTCTTCTTAAACGATGAGGGTTTCTGCCTCTACCACCTTTACAGGCTATGTTAGAAATAGATTTTCCAGTGCAGTGGTCCAGGGCTGTTAGTAACCAGGAGTTATTGCAAGGCCAGAAGCAATGACCCATCTTCTCACACTTGCCTTCAAATTTCATTTCACCGTAACTCTTAAGTAACTATCCATCTGGCTTTTAAAATAATTTATAAACTTGGTTCAACAACGCCTATGCAAGTCAACTCCATATTCTAACCAGACTCAGAATATTCAATATTTTTACATCTTTTGCAATTACTGTCCTCATGACAATCTCACTGACCAACAGAAACAACGGGCCAGATTTTCCGAGGATGAAATTGCCATTCCACCCCTTTTTTTTAGGGCAAAGAGGGAGCTCAGTATTAATGAGAGAAAAGTCTGCTCAGGGCTCCGTCAGGAATGTGGAGCTATACTTCTGTTCTGACAATTCTTCTGTAGTGCAAAACTGCCAAAGGAAGGTTGACTTTTCACAGCTGTCAGCTGTCATATTCTGAAAGTTAAAGGCCCTACCATTCAAATTGTAAGTACATAAGGTAAGTTTGATGTTATGGTGTTGGGCTGTTAGGGTGCCAGGTGGATTAAATGCCTGCTGGGAAGTGCTAGGCTACTAAATATGTAGGATGTCAAGTGGAAAAAGGATAGAGTGCCAGGGTGCAAGGTAAGTGGGTGAAAGAATGGGGTCTGGGCGGAAGGAGTTGGGGAGAGAAAAGAACAGGTTGGTTTCAATAGGACAGCAATCGGCTTGGATCTGGTTTGGAGGGTGTGGGGGGGTTGGGAATGTAGCTGGGTTGTGCGATGCAAGAATGGGGGCCCGTTGTAAACATATTGAAGACAGTCAGACTATATCTTCAATGGTCTAAATCTTCTTGAGGAACTATTTTGTTTAGTTTCACCAAAACCCTCCATTGTCTTCAGCTTAAATGGAGACTTTCAGAGAGTTCCAGGCACATCGGAATTGCCCAACTGAAATGGGTATTCCACAGGATCCTCCTGCACAACTGCTACCTACACTCTCATAACAACAGTCTGGCATAACAAATCTGGGCCAATGTTTCTGCTTTATCTGTTGTAACTGTTCATAACATTGAAGGTCTCAAAGAGGTCATACATGACCTTTTCAGCTCATGGAGGAAACTTTCAAAATCACTAGTTTCTCTTCATGACTGTGCCCTCATCCTTGGCAACATCTACTTAATGTATATTACATCATCTATTTTGTTTTAAAGTGTACTCATCACTGTCTTTACTACAATGGACTGACCAGAACTGAACGTAATACTCCAACTACAGCCTTAATTACTTTATTACAAGTTTTCTCCTTGTCCCTTACCTGCCAATGTTGCTGCTTCCTTCTTGTCCGGGTGGTATCTAGCTTTGTTCCTCCAACAAGGTGGTGTTGAAATTGCTTTCCGTTTATTGCATATGATGATATATCACTCCTCGTCCCCTCCTTTCAATTCAAACCTACGCCACTGAAAATCCATGTGTATTGACTGTTAAACAAGAGAAAAATCCACAGAAAAATGCGAAAGATAGACAACTCAAAAGTTTCACTGAACTATAACGCAACTAATGGAAGGATGGGAAAATATAGCCCAAAAGCCTGGCTGACTTTCAGAGCTGTTAACAGGCATCTATTTTTTATACTTCAATTGATTGTAATATTTTCCATGTTCACTGCGATCAGTGTGGTTTGTCACAATGAAATTTCTCATATCCACCACCATGGTACTTTAGTGAAAAACCCAGTAACAACAGTTCATTGCTTTTTTGCCTAGCACTCATCAAATGCCCGGACCATTAATGTTTTACTTCAGAGACTATTTCAATGCCACACAGTGCAGTATATATTACAACTATCACTGAAATCAAATCTTAACGGCCACTAACATATGCTTTCTAGAACACTTGAATTGTCACAGGCTATAATCAGGCAAAAGCTGAGGAACCACAATGAAAAGCTAAGCAAAATGATTTTTTTTAATACTTTAAAGTATGTATTTACCTCTCCACTCCTGGAGACGACAACCCAAGCTTGGGGGAATCCGTAAGCTGATGTAATCCTTTGATGCCTCACCCAAATGATCACTCTTCACAAGAGGGCCTGAACAGTAAATGCAACAGGCAATTCAATCATTAGGACTATCAGAACAAGTTCAATACTTAAAAAAACCCTCACTGTAAAAAAAGAGAATAGAAAGCAGAAACCCTGGGCTGTGTTTCAACCAGGGGTGTAGCCATGATTTCTCCATACGGCCATAAATACCCACCCAAATAGCACCCAGGTACGAATATGATCCTGACACTCAGATGAAATTTATATGCGATAGAGGAGTTTACCCCCATGGCACAGATTCTCCTCCATGACTGTCAGCCACGATAACAGTCAAGTTTAGTCTTAAAACACGTCATAAAAAGTTTGCAATAATAACAACACGACAGTACGTCCACTGAAGGCCAATTTCAATCCAATATAAATGAGGTCATAAAGTCAAAATAATAACAATTCTCTATCCAGACTGATTCAAAATAGCTGGCTTCCTCCTCACCATGATCCTCAATCTAGTCTCTCTCCAGGAATATCCAACTGTGTGCCAGCTTTAATTAACTTCACTGGTAATTTATTTCATAACTTTATTAGTTAATAGGTTAAAAAAACTCTGCATCAATCTTAATCTTCAAACTCTGTACCCTGGAATTTGAATTCTTCAACATAACAACATAGATTGAAGTTAACGCACACGCGTATACACACACACACACACACACACACACACACACGAACTCGGCAACTTTCTGGACCCAATACTGAGTCCCAACTCACCAGATCTTGTCATCACATGGGCTGCTACCAGATACAATCCATTGTCAGCTATTAATAGCCACCATTAGCAGCTACTCATTCCCCCAAAATGACTTTTAACCGCTCCTCTGTCTGTCAAACTGTTTTTCTCTCCCTTTAGCTCTATCTCTGCTTATGGTTTACCCCACCCCGTCCCATCAAACCACCCCATCTCCTGCTTATATACCAATCTTTTCCTAGCTACCATCAGTTCTGAAGAAGGGTCACAACACCTGAAATGTTAACTCTGGTTTCTCTCCAAAGATGCTGCCAGGCATGCTGAGTTTTTCTGGCAATTTCGGTTTTTGTTTTTGATTTCCAGCATCCACAGTCCTTTTGTTTTTTTTTGTTTAAGACCAATCAACTAATTTTCCATCAAAGTTAAAATTCATGTTATTCGTGTTCCATCTTTGTTGCTCTCAGCTGTAACCTCTTAAGTTTAATAAAGTTGTAATTTCCCCATTAATTAAATTTATTGTTCAATTTATTGAATCATTCATTTACGAGCAGCACTGCAAAATTTAATTTAATAAAACCAAAAACTATACTTTTACATATCCTTTTTCCTCCGTCTGTCTGCAGCTTTTGATAAGGTTGCCCATATCATCTTCCTCCTACACCAATTTTTTTTATTATCCAGAGAATCATTTGTCATCACTGCTTTCCATCCCCAAACTGCTAATTCTGGTGTCCCTCAAGGATCAATTCTTGGTTCTCTACCATCTCTCAACACATCAGCAATCACATCTTCCCCTCCCTCTATATATTCCAAAAGGGCCATTCCTTCTATTATTTCCTCTCCACTCCTAAGACATCTCAACACCAACACTTTGCTACAGTACCTTTCCAAGCAAGTGCAGGAAATGTAACACCTGACCTTTTATCCTCCCTTTTCACCATCTGAGTCCCAAACAGCCCTTTGAAGTGAAACAGCAATTTACTTCAGCCCATTGAGCCTGCTCCTCCATTCAATAGGAACATGGCTGATTCAACATTCTTCATGTCTATTTTCCTACCTTTTCCCCATAATCCTTGATTCCCCTACTGATCAAGAATCTATCCACCCATTGGACCCAACATTGAGTTCAACAATTTTAGGTCATAGCCTCTGCCCTTTTGCCTTTGGCTTATTTTCTCTTCTTGATTTTTTCTTATTTACTTTATTCTGCATTCCTTCCATATTCTATCCTACACCAAGTCCCTCTCCTCAAACTCTCCTATCCTTGCTTATCTGTATTGCTTCCCAATTCCTTAACAACTCCAATTTAAAATTATCATTCTTGTATTTTTAAAAAATTAATTCATGGGATGTAGGTGCTGCTACTTGGACATTTATTGCGTAACCCGGTTGCCCTTGAGAAGGTGGTGGTGAGCTACCTTCTTGAACCACTGCAGTCCATTTTGTGTAGTGACCCCCCACAATGCTGTTAGGAAGGAAGTTCTAGGATACTGACCCAGCAACACTGAAGGAATGACAATACATTTCCAAGTTTGGACATTGAATGGTTTGAAAGTGAACTTGCAGCTGGTGGTGTTCCCATGTATCTGCTGGTGCTATGCTTCTTTATGGTAGTTGTCATTTACTTGGAACAAGGAGCGTTGACGAATTTTTGAAGTGCACCTACAGATGGTTTACACTGCTGCTGCCAAGTGCTGGTAGTTGAGGGACTGAATGTTTGTGGATGCGGTATCAATCATTTCCCATGAATAAGATCAAGCTTTTTGAGTGCAGCTCCAATAATACTCAAAAGGGAAGCAAGAAGTAGTCCATCACACTGATGACCTGCGCCATCCTTACCTGGTCTGGCCTACATGTGACTCCAGACCCACAGCAATGTAGTGGACTCTTAACTGCCCTTTGGACAATTAGAGATGGGCAATAAATGCTGGCCTCACCAATAACACCCTTATCTCATGAATTAATATAAAAAAGGGGAAGTTACTCACTGAAGGATTCCTAGACTCTAATCTGATCGTGCAGTCACAGTACTTTTATGGATAGTCCAGTTTAGTTTCTGGTACCATCAATGGTATCTAAAGTTTTTGAGAAGATTCGTAGCTCAGGTTGTGGATGAGGTAGTAGACTTGCTCACCGAGCTGGTGTGTTTGATTGCAGACATTTCATCACTTCCAAGTGATGCCAACCACCCCAGCAAAACTGAGGCATTAAATAACAAGCGGGACAGAACACCTACGCTTCACCGGAGGCGCACTGATGATGTTATCTAGCAGAGTGACAAAACATCTGCAATCAAACATACTGGTTCAGCAAGCAAGCCTACAACCTCATCAATGGTATCCCTAAGAATGTTAATGGTGGGGGATACAGTGATGGCAATGCCACTGAATGTCAAAGGTGATGGCTAGATTCCCTCTTACTGGACAGAGTGGTCCATATGGTTAGATTCTCTCTTGCCTGGCATTGTGCAAACAAATATTACTTCAAACCCATTCCTGGCCCCCCCTACTGCTATAAGACTCTACCAAAGATTTCTGGTCCCTTGATTCTACCCTTTCATACATCGACCTTCCCTTTGCTCCGTCACTGACAGCCCCTATGCCTTCTTCAGTTGCACAATAATTTTTTGTTTCTCCATCTCCTTATCTTCCTTCAAAACACTCAAAATCTATCTCCTTGGCCGAGCTTTAAAATCATCCATTCTGGTATCATCTTTTTCTGATTAAACATCTCTCTACAATGTTCTGAGATATTTTCTACTTTAAAGTTTATGCTATTGTTGGTCACTGGATTCTTTTTCTTGCTACCTTTCTATTCTCAGCTCTAGAATTCTCTCAATTACTTCTAGATTGGGTTGCCTCACCAAACGGTCTTTGTGTATAAACCTCAACAATAAAAGTCAGCAGTTAACCAAAACTTTGCACTAATTCATATTTTGTTCTCACATGACAGCAACATACAGTATGGAGCTTTCATAGAAAGCTCAGTAGACCAAAGCATCATTTTCTCAAGGACATAAACCATCAGAGTTGAAATCAGCTATCTCTGTATAGAATGGTGCAGGAGAAAATCCTGCTTCAAAGCTACTCCTTAGATAAATCTGCTGAGCTTTTGAAAAAGAGTCCACTTGTATGAGAAATTGATGGGAACTAAATGCCATGGGTACCTATTGAATGTAACAAAATATTAATTCAAAGCAACAATGTATAGTTGACTACGCTTCTTCCATTTTCTTTTACAACTCTATTTGTTTCAGGTAAGTCGAAGACTAACACTAATTTTAATCGTGGTTATAAAATTGGTTATAAATAACAAAGTACCTGTCCTATTCAAAAATAGAAGTAAAGGGCATGTAGTCAGCATTCCTTTCCCACAAACCACATCTTGTCAAATCATGAGATGTCAACAGTAAATGGAACTGCATTATGTACTTCAATAACATTATACATTGATTGAAACAAATGAACTTTAGTTCCTAAGGTTGAAGATTAAAATGTAAGTGGCACTGGTTTGAACCTTTTGTTTGGCCCATATCTGAAAAAATACTGCCTAAGATTTGATTGCAGGCAAAATATCTCACTTACATAAGTTTACCGCAGACAACCTCGAAGCTTGACAGATACAAAATGAATTGTTTTATTATCTTCAATAAAATATTAGTTACATATTAATGAAATCTGTAAAAATGAAGACTGAAACTGCAGTTGAATTCCTTGCAACAGAAAATTTCAGCAAAACTAATAAATGGAGAATGCTTATCATTGTGTACATTCTCATTTATCAAAAAGTATTCTATATAACACTCTCCTCAGACCTATACTTAAAATATTGCTATCTGTATGCAATGTTTTTGCAAAAAAATCATCTGTGGCAGACAAAATATTCTAACTTTTCTAAAACCGTCCCTCTGATCTTCACAAAGATATAATCCTGCAGGGTTTACATCACTACTGAGCTTTGAAATGCTGAGATATACCAAAATATTTAAATAATAATATTGAGAAGTTACCGTACAGATAAAATCTATTTAAAGTAATAGTCTTCAAACCAAAAGTCACCAATATCTTAATCCAGACAGTTAGAACAAACTTGCAAAGAAGTCCTGATGAAGGGTCCCAAATTGAAACGTCAACTTTCCTGCTCTTCTGAAGCTGACTGACCTGCTGTGTTCCTCCAGCTGCACATTGTATTGCAGAGAAATTATGACGTCAAAGCATAATTCTGGGGCTATCCCAGCTGTGGAGGAGAGAGGGGGAAGTAGAATTTGTCAGGTAAACATAAATCAATGCGTTTCTGGCCTACTTAGTAATTTTCAAGAACTTGTGACCCCTTGGGGAAGTGGGGAGAAAAGAAGGAAAGAACGTGCACGAGAATTCCCACGAAAGACTGTCTAGAGTAGGTATAGGTTTCACTTAGGGCTGAAGGACTCAATATAGGAGGGTTAAAGTGCAATCAATCTCCAAACAGATATAGTAACAAAATGTTTTTTTCTGTGCCTCAAGTATATTCATTTAACAACTTTAATGAGTCTGTTCCAAACTATTATATTGGAAGACTCTTGTTTTGAAACTTTGATTTTGTTACAAGGTCACAGGGGAACATACTTAAAAATTTGTTCATGTATATGGATGAGGTCTGCATTTACTGCCTATCCCTAATAGCCCTAGAGAAGATGGTAGCGATCTGACTTCATGTAAAGGACTAATTCAAACAGGTCTACTTGCATGCCAAACAGCATAAACAGCAAGTGACAGAGCTAAGTGATCCCACAACCAATGGATCAGATCTAAGTTCTACAGTCCTGCCATGTCCAGTCACGAATAGTGGTGGACAATTAAACAACTCACTGGAGGAGGAGACTCCACAAATATCCCCATCTTCAATGATGGAAGAGCCCATCACATCAGTGCAAAAGACAAGGCTGAGGCTTTCGCAGCAATCTTCAACCAGAAGAGCTGTGTGGATGATCTGTTTCGACCTCCTCCAATGGTCCCCACCACTACAGATACCAGTCTTCAGACAACTCGATTCACTCCACGTAATATCAAGAAACAGTTGGAGACACTGGATACTGCAAAGCCTACAGGTTCTGGCAATATTTCAGCAATAGTACTGAAGACTTGTGCTCCAGAACTTGCCACTCCCCTAGCCAAGCTCTTCCAGTACAATTACAACACTGGCATCTAGTCAACAATGTGGGAAATTGCCCTGGTATGTCATGTACATAAAAGGCAGGACAAATCCAACCCAACAAATTACCACCCCATCAGTCTACTCTCCATTATCAGTAAAGTGATGGGAGGTGACATCAACAGTGCTATCAAGCAGCACCTACTCAGCAATAACCTGCTCAGTGATGTCCAGTTTGGGTTCCGCCAGGGCCACACAGCTCCTGACCCCATTATAGCCTTGGTTCAAACATGAACAAAAGTGCTGAATTCCAGAAGTGAGATGACAGTGACAGCACTTGACATCAAGGCTACATTCAACCGAGTGTGGCATCAAAGATCCTACAAAAACTAGGCTCAATGGGTATCAGGTAGCAAAGTCTCCGATGATTGGAGTCATACCTGGCACATAGGAAGATGGTTGTAGTTGTTGGAGGTCAGCCACCTCAGCTCCAGGACATCTCTGCAGGAGTTCCTCAGATAGTGTCCTAGGCCCAAACATCTTCAGCTGCTTCATCAATGACCTTCCTTCCATCATAAGGTCAGAAATGGGGAGGTTCGCTGATGATTGCACAATGTTCAGTACCATTCGCGACTCCTCAGATATTGAAGCAGTCCATGTTCAAATGCAGCAACATTTGGACAATATCCAGGCTTGGGCTGACAAGTGGCAAGTAACATGCCGACCACACAAATGCCAGGCTACGGTCAATAAGAGACAGACAATCTAATCACCGCTCCAGACATTCAATGGTCTAACCATCACTGAATTTCCCATTGTAAACATCCTGGGGGTTATCATTGACCAGAAACCAACTGCACTCACCACATAAACACAGTGGCTTTAACTTCAGGTCAGAGGCTAGAAACATGCAGCAAATAACTCACCTCTGGACTCCCCAAAGTCTGTCCAACATCTACAAGGCACAAGTGATGGAATGCTCCCCACTTGCCTGGATAACTGCAGCCCCAATAACACTCAAGAAGCTTGACACCATCCAGTAAAAAGCAGCCTGTTTGATCAGGACTTCATCCACAAGCGTTCACTCCCCCCAACACCAACACCGAGTGACAGCACTGTGTACTATCTACAAGATGTACTGCAGAAATTCACCATACAGCACCTTTCAAACACACAATCACTTCCATCTGGAAGGTCAAGGGCAGCAGATGCAATGAAACACCACCACCTTCAAGTTCCCTTCCAAGCTACTCACCATCCTGAATTGGAAATATATCACTGTTCCTTCACTGTCACTGGGTCAAAATTCTGGAATTCTCTCCCTAAGGGCATTGTGGGTGGACTGCAGCGGTTCAAGAAGGCAGCTCTCCACCACCTTCTCACGGGCAACTAGTGACGGGAAAAAAATACTGGCCAGCCAGCGACAACCACATCCCAAAAATTAACTTTAAAAAAAAAAGCACTGCAGTCCCTAGGCCGTAGGTAAATGCACTGTGCTGTTAGAAAGGAAGTTCCAGGATTTTGCCCCAGCGACGGTGAAGGAACTACGATACATTTCCAAGTCAGGATGGTAAGCAGCTTGGAGGGGATCTTACAGGTCGTTCTGTTCCCTTGTCATTCTAGATGGTTGAGGTTGCAGCTTTGAAAGATGTCTTTGAAGGAACCTTGGCCAGTTACTGCAGTGCATCCTGTAGACCTTATTATTTAAATGATTTATTTTGTCATCAGAATTTGGGCAAAAGCTAAACACTTAAATAGTTGGAAATCTGAAATAAAACCAGAAAGTGCTGGACATACTCAGGTCAGATAGCTTCTATGGAGAGAAGCAGAGATAACGATTCAGGTTGATGATCCTTCATTGGATTCTAGTAGGCAGATGGCACCTATACTTTCCTTTAGCTTTTCATGGGATTTGGACATCACTAGCAAGACCGACATTTGTGCCCTTTCCTAAGTAGCTTACTGTGCAATTTTGGGGGCCAGTTAAGGGACAACACATCATGTGGGTCTGGAGTCATGTGTAGGCCAGACTAGGTAAGGACAGCAGATTACCTTCCCTAAAAGAACATTAGTTAATCAGTTGGGTTTTTACAACAACCAACAATGGTGCTGTGGTCACAGAACAGACTGCCAAATTTATATTACAATCTGGCTAAAGACCAGTAACATCCTGTGGTTGGTTGGCTCACTGAGCTTTTTTGTTAGTTCGCAGACATTTCATTACCTTGCTGGGTAGCATCATCAGTGCAGTCTCCGATGAAGCACTGCTGTGTTTTCCCTTCTGGTATTTAAACTCTGGGGTCCATTGGAATTGATTACGTCATTTCTGGTTTTTCTTCGCAGTGGTGTATATATAGGGTCTAATTCTATGTGTTTATTGATGGCCTTCTTGGTGGAGAACAAAGCCTCTAGAAATTCCTGTGCCTGTCTCTGTTTGGCCTGTCCTAGGATCCTGATGTTGGCCCAATCGAACTGGTGGTTCTCTTTATCAGTGTCACTCATCTCCAATCACACTGATAAGGAGAACCACCATTCAGTTGGGCCAACATCAGGATCCTAGGATAGGCCAAACAGAGACAAGAACAGGAATTTCTAGAGGCTTCGTTCTCCACCAAGAAGACCATCAATAAACACATAGAATTGGACCCTATTTATACACCACTGCAAAGAAAAACCGGAAATGAGGAAACCAATTCCAACGGACCCCAGAGTTTAAATACCAGGTGGGAAAACATAACAGTGCTTTATCAGCGGTGAACTGATGATGTTACCCAGCAGGGTAATGAAACATCTGCAAACTAACGAACCAGCTCAGTGAGTGAACCAACCATAGCATCCACAACCCGAGCTACAAATCTATTCAAGAACCTTAGACCAGTAACATTGTTTTAGAAAAAAAGTAACCAAGCATGAGATCCTCACAATTGTGAGGTAAAGCCCAAGATTGCGAGGTTTTAAATGCACGACAATAAATTTTACCATACAAAGCTAGAACAGTAATGCAACCATATACAACACTCCATTTATTTTCCAATATTCACAATTAAACAAAGGTTAATATTGATAACAGACAAACGGTGGTCAAACACCCCACAGAGTACATCAGATACAGTTAAGACAGGTGCCAAGGTTAGAAAGCTACGAAATTAAACATTTAGAGCTCAGGCACTTTAAACGCACCGGATGCACAGAAAACCTAAGGCTTGTGAACTGCAGAAAGCTACAGATGTTGGAAGGGGACAAAGCATTCAGAGGCATTTAAAACCAAAAATGAGAATTTTAAAAATCAAGAAGACAGACCAGAAGCTAAGAGATAGTAAGAACTGCCGATACTGGAGTCAGAGATAACACAGTGTGGAACTGGAGGAACATAGCAGGCAAGGGTCCTGACTTGAAACATCAGCTTTCCTGCTCCTCTGATGCTGCCTGGCCTGCTGTATTAAACCAAAAGCTAAGGTAAGTCCATGAGTGTGGCAATGAAGAACGAACTGGACTTAATGCAAGTTCAGTATGGGCAGAGCTTTGGAGGAGTTAACAAAGGCTAGAAAATAGGAGGCTTATGAGAAAATTTGAATAGTCAAGTCTGGATGTAATAAAGTTTTAGGGGAAGGTGGACAGAGACAAATGATTTTATAGAAGTCAAAGTGAGCCATCAAGGAAACAGACAGGATGAGAGTCAGAAACTCCTTTCAGGGTCAAACAGATCTCTTAATATTTACCTGCTAAGTTTCTTGCTCCACTTCAGATGAAATGACAATTAAGTTACCAACTTGCTTTCACTTAGATGTTTCTGCATCTGCAATAAAATATGACACTTTGAAATCACAATACATAGTTAGATGCAAGATATTTACATTGATGGATCTGATAACACATCCTTGAAGAGTACTGAATTGTGGAAATATCAGTTGAAATTAACGTGTCCTTCTGCCATTGTGAGGCAGTCCCTCGTTATGGTTACCAGGGACCAATGCAGAGGCATTTTCAATCGTAATATTCCACAGAACAATCACTATGTTCTGAACCAATCAAATGTCTTTCTATAAAGATAGTGGAGGGTACAATAAATCAGTATAGAATAAATTTGCTAAATTTGTGCCTCCATCTAGCCTGCCTTGAGCTGTTAATTAGTTACCAATAAAATTACTACTAACATTTGAAAGGTCAGTGTTACAAATGAACCAATGAGATTTGGAAAAATAAATACAGTAGATGGAAGTTTTCTATGGTTACCATCAGTCAAAAAGATTGCTCAACGTTTATTGTAGATAGATAAAAGGCAGATTCTAAAGAGACCAATAAAAATAAAACTTTTCCATTTCAACATCTAAAAGGCATCTGGATGGGTATATGAATAAGAAGTGTTTACAGGAATATGGGCCAAATGCTAACAAATGGGACTTGGTCAAATTGGGATGTCTGGCAGTTGTACCAAAGGGTCTGTTTCTGTGCTATATGACTATGACTCTATAACACATCTAATGTGTTGAAATATATATTCTGGAGTTTGTAGAAATGGTCCAGTTAGGTAGTGGTGCAAGTGCTCCAAGACAGCAATAATAGGAGTGATTACCTATCCTAATATCTCAAAGCTTCATGTCAAATTTTGTTTTTTGCTCCTGTGGAGCACTTTGGGATATTCTGTTATGTTAAAGTTGTTACACAAACGTAACTCGTTGTACTTGATTGTGGTTCTCATTCCATTTTTGAGTCAAACAAGTCTAAAACACAGAAAAAGGTCTTTTGGCTCATCAAGTCTGCATCAGCAGAAACAATCACCTAAGTACTCTCATCTCTTTTTCAGCACTTGGTGCATAGTCTTGTATACCTTGGCATCGCAAGTGTACATCTAAATGCTTAAAAGTTATGAGGGCATCCACCTCTATCACCCCTACAGAGAGTGATGTTCAGATTGCCACCACTTCCTGGGTGAAAAAAATTTTCTTCACCTCCCTTCTAAATCTCCAGTGCACACCCCCCCCTCTCTCATTGATCCCTCTACCAAGGGGAAAAAACTTCATCCTTTTGACCCTGTCTATGCCCCTCATAAAGTTATACATTTTTGAAAAATGAGGGGGAACATATGATCAAGTGTGTAGATGAGGGAAGTTCAGCTGATATATTTTAATATGGATTTCAGAAAAGCTTTTGACAAGGGAGGCTGATTGAGAATGTTAAAGCACATGGAATTCAGGGAAACTTGGCAAGATGGATCACAAACTGGCTTAGTAACAAGACACAGTGTAATGGCAGAAGGCTATTTGAGTGACTGGTGTTCACCAGCATCCAGCAGTGTCCCACAATGAACAATTCTGGCACCCTTATTGTTTGTTATATACATAACTAATATGGATGAAAATGGGGGAGCTGGGGGGTGGTGGGGGTAAGAGAGAGATATTAAACGAGTCTCAGATGACACCAAGATTGGTAGGGTGGTTAATGGTGAAGAAAATGGCAGTAGGTTGGAGTAAAATATAGATCTGTCGGTCAGATGAGCAGACCAGTGGCAGATAGTATATGACCCTGGTAAGTGCCGAGTGATGCACTTCGGAAGAAACAACAAGATGAGGGAGCATTTAATGAATAGCAAGACACTGGGTAGCTTACAGGAATACAGGAATCTTGAGGTAATTATTCACAGCTCCCTGAAGTTGGCAGAACAAGTGAATAGGATAGTTAGGAAGACCTATGGGACACTTGCTTTCATCAGTTGAGGCATTCAGTATAAGAGTAAGGTAGTAATGTTGGAGTTGTACTGAGTGTTGGTCAGGCCACAACTGGAGTACTGTGCGCAGTCCTGAACCCTTCACTACAGGAAGGATGTGATAGCACTAGAGGAGGTTCACCAGGATGTTGCCTGGGATGGAGAAATTGAGCTATAATGACATACTAGACAGGCTTATATTGTTTTCTTTAGAGCAGCAAAGACTGAGGGGGTACATGAAGTGTATAAGATTATGAGGGTGACAGGATGAATAGATTGACCCTTTGTTTGAGGGGTCAATCACAAGGGGGCATAGTTTTAGGCTAAGGGGCAAGGGATTCAGCAGGGATTTCAGAACAATGTTTTCACTCAGGAGATGGTGGGAATCTGCAATGCACTGCCTGGGAAGGTCATGGAGGCTGGAAACCTTAAAACCTTTGAAAAAAATTTGGACGAGCACTTCAGAGATCACAACATTCAAGGATATGGGACAAGTGCAGGAAATTGGAATTAGTGCACCTATAGGGCAGCACGATGGCACAGTGGTTAGCACTGCTGCCTCACAGCGCCAGGGACCCGGGTTCGAGTCCAGCCTCGGGCGACTGTCTGTGTGGAGTTTGCACATTCTCCCCGTGTCTGTGTGGGTTTCCTCCCACAGTCCAAAGATGTGCAGGTTAGGTGGACTGGCCATGCTAAATTGCCCAAAGTGTTCAGGGAGGTGTAGATTAGGTGGGTTATAGGGGGATGGGTCTGGGTGGGATGCTCCGAGGTTCGGTGTGGACTTGTTGGGCTGAAGGGCCTGTTTCCACACTGTAGGGATTCTATTCTATTCTATAAAATTACGTCGGTATAGACTCGATGGGCCGAAGGGCCTTTTCTGTGCAGTATGCACTCTGTGACTCAGCCTCCTCTACTCCAACGAAAACAACCCCAGTCTATTCAATTTTGCTTCATAACTAAAACTCTTCAGCCCAAGCAACATACTGGCAAAATCCTGTGAACTTTCTTCAATGCAATCACATCTCTCCTATAACATGGATTCTGAAATACACACAATACACTAGCTGTAGCCAAATTTTTATATATTTCCAGCATAACCTCCCTGCTCTTAAACTCTGTGTCTCGGCTAATAGTGACAAGTATCCCATATGCCTTTTTCCACCTGTCCCACTACCATAAACAAGCAGAAAGTCCCTCTGATCCTCAGTGCATCCTAGGATCATACTGCTCATCATCTATTCCCTTGCCTTGCTCGTCCTGCCCAAGCCATCACTTCACACTTACTCAAACCGAATTCCATTTGCTACTGATCAGCCCATATGACCAATTCATCTGCCCAGTCAGTCTATATCCTCCTGTAAACTCAGGCTTTCCTCCTCGCTATTGTCGTATCTTCTGCGAACTTACTGATCAACCCTCCTACATTCAAGTCTAAGTTGCTTGCATATAGAATAAAAAGGGCCCCAATATTTCTCACTTTCAAAAACACTCCTCAACTATCACCCTCTGCTACCTGCCACTCAGGCTTGCTGAAGTCTCAGCAGACTACTTCAAATGCATTGTCCTCATCTACACTCCTGGTCACCTGTGCGAAAAATTTAATCAAGTTGGTCAGACATGACCATTCTTTAACAAAACTATGCTGAATATTCTTGATTAATTACTGTGTCTCTAAGTGCAGATTAATTCTATCCCTCAGAATCTGCTTCCAATAGTTTCACCACCACTAAGGTTAGACTGACTGGCCTGCAGTTTCCTGGTTTATTCCTTGCTCCTGTCTTGAATAACAATACACACTGGCTGTCCTCCAGTATTCTGGCACCTCTCCAGTGGCCAGAGAGGAATTGAAAATTATTGCCTGTGCCCCAGCTATTTCCTTCCTTGGCTCACTCAACAGTCTGGGGTACGTTTCATCTGGCCCTGGGTATTTATCTATTTTTAAGGCTGCCAGACAACTCAAAACCTCCTCTCTCTGTCTATGCTAATGTCTTTAAGAATTTCACAATCCTTCTGCCCAATTTCTATATCCACAACTTCCTTCGCCCTACTGAATACTGACACAAAGTACTCATTTAGAACCCTACCTACATCCACCAGCTCCACAATCAAATTAACGCTGATTTTTAACAGGCCCTACTATTTCCCTAATTTTCCTTTTACCTGAATGTACCAATAAAATAACTTAGGATTTTATTTATTTTACCTGCTGTTATTCTTTCATACCCCCTTTTTGATCTCCTAATTTCCTTTCTAAGTTTCTCCTTGCACATTCTGTCCTCCTCCATGGATCCTGATGTTGTGACCCTTCAGTATCTGCCAAACGATGAGGAAAGAGCAGAAAATGGGACTACTTGGGTTGTTATTTCAAAAAGGTGAGCACAGGTCTAATGGGCTCAATAGAATCCTATTCTGCTGTATCAATCATTCCTGGTTCTTTTACAAAGTCGCATGGCTTTCTTTACAAAGCATTCTTTCATTGCTTCCTTTAATATTCTAACTTCAAAATGGAATATTTGCAAACAAGATGGTTTAATCCTAACTCAAACATGATACCTTGACTGCCAGCTATTAAATTAGGCATAATAAATCTCCACATAATCAGCAATTTGCAGAATCTAAACAGTTCAATTTTGAAATATTTTCTGTTGCTAATCATATTGTCACATCTGTCTGGGGTAGTGTGCTGTAAATCAGTGTGCAGCTGGAGGAAGACAGCAGGCCAGGCAGCATCAGAGGAGTAGGAAAGTTGATGCTTTGGGTCATAAATGAGGAAGCGTCCCGATCCAAAACATCGACTTTCCTACTCCTCTGACGCTGCTTGGCCTGCTGTGTTCATCCAGCTCTACACTTTGTTATCTCAGATTGTCCAGCATCGGCAGTTCCCACTATCCCAGTATAATCCATTCCCTGGTTGGGCTGTTTACATACTGTGTCAAGAAACCCTCCCGAATGGTCCTTTCAAATTCTGATCCATCCAAGTCCCTAGCATGAAATGAGCCCCAGTCAATGTAGGGGACGTTAAAATCAACTCCAGAACAACCCTGCTGTTTTTACATCTTTCCAAAATCTGTCTACATACTCTCTCCTCTATTTCCCGCTGTTGGGAGGCCTGTGGTATACCTCCAGCATTGTGATTTCATCTTTCCTATTCCTGAGTTCTACCCATTTTGCCTCACTGCATAGGTCATCTGATGCATCTTCCCTCAGTACAGATGTGAGATACTCCTTTACCAGTAATGCAACTCCCCGACCCCTTTTACATCCCCTTCTACCACACCTGAAACATCTAAATCCTGGGGCATTCAACTGCCAGTCTTGACCCTCTTTCAGGCAAGTCTCTGTAATCACAATAATGTCATAGTTCCAAGTACTAACCAAAGCTCTAAGTTCATCGACATTCCTTATTGCATTGAAATACATGCATTTTAGACCACCTCCCTGCAATTTTCAGCCACATTTCTCTGCCTGTTCTTAGTCATGTTTGCTTTGGTTTCTACCTCTCCCACAATTTCCGCATCTACTGGCATATTTCTCTGGTTCCCATCCTCCTGTTACACTAGTTGAAACCCTCCCCAACCACTCTACCAAGTACACCCCAAAGGGCATCAGCCCCAGTCTTCTCTGGACTGCTTCCAATGCATTAACATCCTTCCATAAGTTTGATGACCAGTACTGCACACAGTACTACAGATATCTAATTCCTTATATAACTAAAGCATAACCTCCTTATTCTTGCAATAAACAATAACATTCTATGAGCTCTCCTGATTACTTGCTGTATCCAAACACAAAGCTTCGGTGATTTCTGCACTAGGACAGCAAGATCTCTCCACATCTCAGAGCTCTGCAACCTTTCACCATTTAGATAATGCTTCCTTTACATTTTTTCTACCAAATTGATCAATTTCACCCTTTCCCACATTGTACTCCACTCACCAAATCTTCGTCCACTTACATAATCAACTTATTTTGCTTTATAGGCTTCTCATGTCCACTTCACAACTCACTTTCCTACCTACTTTGTGTCATCAGTAAATTTAGTTACCATTCCTTCAATCCCTTCCTCCAAGTCATTTATATAAATTGTCAAGGGTTGAAACTTCAGTACCAATCTGTGGCACACCACTTGTGGCATCCTGCCAACCTGAAAAAGACACACTTATTCCTACTCTCTATTTTCTGTTAGCAAGCAAATCTTCCATCCATGCCACTATGTTACTCCCTCTACCAAGAGCTTTTACTTTGCACGATAACTTTTGATGTGGAATGCCTTCTATCTAAGCACAATACATCCACTGGTTCCCCTTTATCAACAATACAAGTTAGTTTTTTAAAAATTCAATTGTGGGATGTGGATATCGCTGGCTGGGCCAGCAATTATTGCCCTTCCCTATTTGCCCTTGAGCTGGTGGCGTACTGCCTTCTTGAAACACTGTAGACCATTTGTTGTAGGTAGGTAGACGATGCCGTTTGGGAGGAAGTTCCAGGATTTTGTCCCAATGACACTTAAAGAATGACAGTAAGTTTCTTTAGAAGTATAATTAACTTTCTTCAAAGGATTCCAATAAATTAGCTAAACATGATTTCCCCTTAACAAAACCATGTTGGCTCTGCCTGATTACTTTTAACTCACCAAGTGCCCTGTTATAATGTTTTTAATAGGAGTTTCCAACATTTTCCCTATGACTGATGTTAAACTAACTGGCCTGTATTTTTTCAGAGATAGTAGGAACTGCAGATGCTGGAGAATCCGAGACAACAAGGTGCAGGGCTGGATGAACACAGCAGGCCAAGCAGTATCATAGGAGCAGAGAGGCTGACGTTTCGGGCCTAGACCCTTCATCAGAAAAGGGGGAGGGGAAGGGGGTTTTGAAATAAATAGGGAGAGAGTGGGAGGCGGATAGAAGAGGGATAGAGGAGAGGAAACAAACAGGTCGAAGAGGCGGGGATGGAGCCAGTAAAGGTGAGTGTAGGTAGGGAGTTAGGAAGGGGATAGGTCAGTCCAGGGAGGACGGACAGGTCAAGGGGGCGGGATGAGGTTGGTCGGTAGGAGATGGAGGTGCGGCTTGAGGTGGGAGGAGGGGATAGGTCGGAGGAAGAACAGGTTAGGGAGGCAGGGACGAGCTGGACTGGTTTTGGGATGCGGTAGGGGGAGGGGAGATTTTGAAACTTGTGAAATCCACATTGATACCATTGGGCTGCAGGGTTCCCAAGCGGAATATGAGTTGCTGTTCCTGCAACCTTCGGGTGGCATCGTTGTGGCACTGCAGGAGGCCCAGTATGGACATGTCGTCTGAGGAATGGGAGGGGGAGTTGAAATGTTAGTGAAGTGTATGAACTGTTCGAGCTCCTCGTGGGAGCACGAGGCGGCGCCGAAACAGTCATCAATGTAACGGAGGAAGAGGTGGGGTTTAGGGCCGGTGTAGGTACGGAAGAGGGATTGTTCCACGTAACCTACAAAGAGGCAGGCGTAGCTTGGGCCCATGCGGGTACCCATGGCTACCCCCTTGGTCTGTAGGAAGTGGGAGGAATTGAAAGAGAAGTTGTTGAGTGTGAGGACAAGTTCGGCTAAGCAGATGAGGGTATCAGTGGAGAGGGACTGGTCGGGCCTGCGGGACAGGAAGAAGCGGAGGGCCTTTAGGCCATCTGTATGGGGAATGCAGGTGTAGAGGGACTGGACGTCCATGGTAAAGATGAGGTGTTGGGGACCGGGGAATTGGAAGTTCTGGAGGAGGTGGAGGGCGTGGGTGGTGTCACGGACATAGGTAGGGAGTTCCTGGACCAATGGGGAGAAAATGGAGTCTAGATAGTTGGAGATCAGTTCGGTGGGGCAGGAGCAGGCGGAGACAATGGGTCGACCAGGGCATTCAGGTTTGTGGATTTTGGGAAGGAGATAGAAGCGGGCAGTGCGAGGTTGGGGAACGATGAGGTTGGAGGCCGTGGGTGAGAGGTCACCTGAGGTGATGAGGTTGTGGATAGTTTGCGAGATGATGGTTTGGTGCTCAGGGGTGGGGTCATGATCAAGGGGGCGGTAGGAGGAGGTGTCGGAGAGTTGGCGTCCGGCCTCGGCAATGTAGAGGTCAGTGCGCCATACTACAACTGCGCCTCCCTTGTCCGCGGGTTTTATGGTGAGGTTGGGATTGGAGTGGAGGGCTGCACGTTCTGCAGGGGAGAGGTTGGAGTGGGTGAGAGGGGTGGAGAGGTTGAGGCGATTGATGTCTCGACGGCAGTTGGAGATGAAGAGGTCGAGGGAGAGTAGGAGGCCTTGGGGTGGTGTCCAGGAGGAGGGGAGGGTTAGGTTCATGGTTAAAGAAGTAAGCGTGGAGGCGGAGGCGGCGGAAAAACTGCTCTATGTCCAAGCGTGAGCGGTATTCGTTGATCTGTGGCCTGTATTTTTCTGCTTTCTGTCTCCCTTTTTGAATAAAAGAGTTACATTTAGCTATTTTCCAATCTCAAGGAACCTTCCCTAAATTTACTGTGTTTTGGAAAATTAAAATGCATTAGAGTAGGTGTAAAAGAGATTGTCTAGGCTGGGGCGTTTCAGTTATGAAGACAGACTAGATAGGCTGGGGTTAGAGACAGGAGGAAGACTGAGTGGAGACCTGATACACAATTCTCAGGGGCACAGGCAGGGTAGACAGGGAGAAACAGGGGGCACAGTTTGAGGGCAAGGAGCAGGAGGTTTAGAGGGGATGTGGGGGAAAACATTCTCCCAGAGGATTGTGGGTGTCTGGAACTCACTGCCTGTCAGGGTGATATAAGCAGGAATCCTCAGATCGTTAAAAACTATTTAGATGACCATTTGAAATGCCATAGCATAAAAGGCTATCAGCCAAGTGCTGGGAAATGGAATTAGTATAGATAGATGTTGGACTACTGTGCGAACAGATCTCTGTGACTCAAAGTAGAAAAAGACATGAAAAGTATCATCCCTATGATTTATTTCCTGGATGGCTTACGGCAGAGCATAATAATTAAATCTTTAAACCCAGAGACTCCATGACAGTTCCAGGAGTGTTGGCGACAATATTCTCCTTGCCTAATCCTGGAATTAGATCACGGGGAAGCTAAATCGCTTAGAACTAAAGGCAGAAAGTGCACAGGAGGCTTGGCATATATCAACTTTTTTTGACATCTAATATTTCCTGTCTTCCATTCAATCAGATTCCTTCGCTTTTGTTTGTTTCCCCACCCTCCCTGTTTCAACTGCTTAAAACCACTCCCATTTCTAACTGTTCCTTGATTGTGATGACGAGTCATCGACCTGAACCATTAGCTCCATTTCTCTCTACACAGATACTGTCAGACATGCTGAATATTTGCAGTAATTTCGGTCTCTATTTCACATATCCAGCATCCACAGTATTTCCCATGCGTTCAGGAAACATTAGGCAAGGTGATAGAAGCAACCAGGTCTGATGACAGCAAAGATCCTTCTATCCAAGTGCCATTTCCTTGTCATGAGAGGCTCCAGAACTCAAGAGTCCCACTCGGGGGCTGAGAAATAAGACCTAACGGTCATAGAAATTCCATCTGGGAAACAGACTACATTTCAATACAACGCACGACAACAACGACCGTGATACAAACAATAATTGGCACTTACACATTTGTCCTGCATTAAATTGCGGCCCTAAGGTTAATCTCCATACAGCGACCAAGCCACAGGTTCCAATCACTCAGACACGGAGGGCGGCTCGAGCTCACCACCGGTCAAACTGCCGCATCACCCAGCGCAATGCACATGCGCGGGCTGGGATCGGCCGCCTGGGAATACGCAGGCGCCGGAAGGAACTCTGCACATGCGTGAGATAGTAGGACCTGCAGATGCTGGAGAATCCGAGACAACAAGGTGCAGAGCTGGATGAACACAGCAGGCTAAGCAGCATCATAGGTATTCGTGGCTGTCCGTCGCGCACCGCCTTCCAAAACAGCAGTCCGAGACGTGCGCATGAGAGAGCGGTCCCAAGCAGACACCACGATTACGCACGCGCGAACTCCGCCGCCACCAACATTCAGGAGAGAATGATAAGTGCGCGTGCGCGATTCACCGGCTGTCCGGTAATTAAATAACGATTTAATATTTAGGCATTTATTGAGAATCCGGTGAAACATTCAAAGGAACTATCATTGTAATGTGCTTGACTCTGAACTTCTCCCTGACATAGCCTGGTAAATCACTCAGTTCAAGGGAAATGAGGGATTCGCAACAAACCTCCCATCAAAGATTAAAGAACATGGAGGAAGGAATAAAAACCAAAAGAACTGCGGATGCTGTAAATCAGGGACAAAAACAAAGTTGCTGGAAAAGCTCAGCAGGTCTGGCAGCATCTGTGGAGGAGAAAACAGAGTTAACGTTTCGGGCCCAGTGACCCTTCCTCAGCCCTGGAGGAAGGAATGAGAGGTGAAGTGGTGTTCCAGTCATTTGGTGGCTTCGATTCCAGTCTTGGGTGACTGTGTGGAGTTTAAATGTTCTCCCAGATGTGCAGGCCAGGTGGATTAGTCCTGGTGAATGTGGGGTTACAGGGATAGGGCAGAGCAGGGGCTTAATGTGTAATGTTAATGAGATGGGGGAATGTGCTAGACAGTTGGACGAGGATCGTATTCTACTTAATGAGGAACGTCTGGGGAGCTCAGGCCTGTAATTTGCACATCACACGCCATGTGGGTAAATCTGGGATGATACTCCTGGTGCTTTGGTTGACCACGTGTGCGGAGGAACCCAGGGCCTGTCAGTTTTGATGTATTCAGAGAGACCATATAATAGATAATACTGTAATACTCAAGGCACGAATGGAAAAATTACTAACTGCCTGGGGTTAGAAAGAGAAAAATGCTAATGAAGATATTTAACAGGAAGAGTGAAAGCAAGGTAACGGACGGGGAATAATAGAGTGGAAACAGATAATGAAAGAAAGTACAAGAGAGGAAAAACGGGGATGTCCATGCCAAGAGGAAAAATGGACAACAAGGGGACTTGATATGCACATTCTAGAACTTTGAGGGTACTGGAGCCTCCTGCCATATATTTCCAAATAACCTGATATGTAGTTGTTATGGCAGAGAACATGAAGGTTCTAATATTTTGTGCATGTTCTTGAATAGGGAAAATGATTAAATTGAATAATTAGAACACTCTGCCTAACATGAGTAGATGGTAAGCTTCTAGTGTCTATGATACATGATAAAATTAATATTTCCTTTGGAAAACAAAAAGTAATTAGCAATGGCCAGCAGAGATTTGTAAAACGCAAGATACATTTGACACATTTAATCAAGGAAATAAGAATATGTCCATGAAGTAGATGGAATGGATATCATAGAGCTAGATTTTCAAAAAGCATTTGAAGTGTCACATAAGCTTTTTCTTTACAAGTTTTTTATAAATGGGAATGTGATAATATGCATATAAACTTGATTCAGGAAATAATGGTTAGTAAATTTTAAAAAAAGAAACTGATGGAAAGTCTCATCAAGTGTGGCAGCTTAATTGGAGGAAGGAACAGAGTTAATTAATCAAAGTCATCAGACCTGTAAAGCTGAAGTATTAGGGCTTTTGTGGTGCAGTGATAGTGTCCCTATCTCTGAATCAGGAGGCCAGGGCTCAAGTCCCAACTGTTTCAGAAGTGTGCAATAATGTCCCTGAACAGGTTGGTCAGAAAATATCTTAAACTTGAAGTGTTAAACACTAGTTTTCTCCCATTAGGTACTGCCAGACTTGCTGAATATATCCAGAATCTCTTGTTTATGTTAATAGATTTTTTTTTTTGCGGTGTTCTCCAACGTTGTACTGTCTAACATCCATACATGGAGGTCACACTGTGGAAACAGGTCTTATGGACAAAGCAGCTTATGCTGGTGTTTTCCATCCAAATAGTTCTAATCACATTTACATACTGGATCTACATATCCCTTCAAACACATTTCCTCACCTACTCATTCAATCTAATTGTGAATGTTGGTACGAGAATTCTTAAACCAAGTAGAATAGCTGACATTAAATAGATTCCGAGTGTTTTAGTTATTAAAACACCTAATTGTATTCCAGATAGAGATATGTGGATTAGCAGTTATGTGTGAGATAATGCAAATGCAGACCTAAATTGTTGGTCCGGCGTCTGTCTGAGAAATCACAGGGAGTGTGGAAATAGAAAGGACTTTAAAGTATTGGCAACGATCTGTGTCCCGGGTTGTGGATGAGATTGTTGACTTGCTCGCCGTGCTGGCTTGTTTTTTGTTCAGATGTTTTGTCACCATGCTAGTTGACATCATCAGTGGAGCCTCCAATGAAGTTGACCAAACAGGTGGATGAGGGTAAAGCAGTTGATGTGGTGTATATGGATTTCAGTAAAGCGTTTGATAAGGTTCCCCACGGTAGGCTATTGCAGAAAATACGGAGGCATGGGATTGAGGGTGATTTAGCGGTTTGGATCAGAAATTGGCTAGCTGTAAGAAGACAGAGGGTGGTGGTTGATGGGAAATGTTCATCCTGGAGTTCAGTTACTAGTGGTGTACCTCAAGGATCTGTTTTGGGGCCACTGCTGTTTGTCATTTTTATAAATGACCTGGATGAGGGCATAGAAGGATGGGTTAGTAAATTTGCAGATGACACCAATGTCGGTGGAGTTGTGGATAGTGCGGAAGGATGTTGCAGGTTACAGCGGGACATGGATAAGCTGCAGAGCTGGGCTGAGAGGTGGCAAATGGAGTTTAATGCGGAAGAGTGTGAGGTGATTCACTTTGGAAGGAGTAACAGGAATACAGAGTACTGGGCTAATGGTAAGATTCTTGGTAGCGTGGATGAGCAGAGAGATCTCGGTGTCCATGTGCATAGATCAATGAAAGTTGCCACCCAGGTTGATAGCGTTGTTAAGAAGGCATACGGTGTGTTAGGTTTTATTGGTAAAGGGATTGAGTTTCGGAGCCATGAGGTCATGTTGCAGCTGTACAAAACTCTGGTGCGGCCGCACTTGGAGTATTGCGTGCAGTTCTGGTCACCGCATTATAGGAAGGATGTGGAAGCATTGGAAAGGGTGCAGAGGAGATTTATCAGGTTGTTGACTGGTATGGAGGGAAGGTCTTATGAGGAAAGGCTGAGGGACTTGAGGCTGTTTTCGTTAGAGAGAAGAAGGTTAAGAGGTGACTTAATGGAGACATACAAGATGATCAGAGGATTAGATAGGGTGGACAGTGGGAGCCCTTTTCCTCGGATGGTGATGGCTAGCACGAGGGGACATAGATTTAAATTGAGGGGTGATAGATATAGGACAGATGTCAGAGGTAAGTTCTTTACTCAGAGAGTAGTAAGGGCGTGGAATGCCCTGCCTGCAAAAGTAGTAGACTCGCCAACTTTAAGGGCATTTAACTGATCATTGGATAAACATGTGGATGATAATGGAATAGTTTAGGTTAGATGGGCTTCAGATTGGTTTCACAGGTCGGCGCAACATCGAGGGCCGAAGGGCCTGTACTGCGCTGTAATGTTCTATGTTCTATGTCACCTAACATGGTGATGAAACGTCTGAACAAAAACAAGCCAGCTCAGTGAGCATGTCAGCAACCTCAATAGAAAGGACTCTCTGTAATAAATATCAAAGTAATAAAGGCAGAAGTAGTCACTCATGGATGAAGAATGTCTGAAGAACAATAAGCAGATAGTAACACAAGTGAGCATGAAGTGGACGGTGAAAGGATCCAATTGTTGATGACATATTTACACTAACTGCATGTAGTAGAAACGACCTTATCTATTAATCTTATGTAAGCTTTACATGATAAGCCATAAAAAACCAACATGTAGGAAGTCTTACAAGTCTTACTTGTTGCGATTTATATTATATATATTAGTAATGTTTAATTTAGAGTTTGGATTTTGAACTAGTGACATGTGGATTTGGGATGTAATGATTAACTTGTAAGTATTTCTGTAGCCATGTTGATTTCTTGAAAAACATAACATGGGAGAAAGACTTCCTGAAGTGTAGTTTTCTTCTGTTGGTGAGTTTACAAGTGAATAAACAGTTGTGCATTATGTTTCAGATAGATAGATCCAGAGATGGCTATTTTCCCTAAGCCAGAAAAAAGGCAATAACTTGAAAGGTTTCAGGTTTATAGAAGTCTTGACTGAAGCTTAATCTGTAAGACAGTTGCTCCTAAAGAAACGGGATAGTTTAGAACTGTTACAAAATAGACCGCCTCAGTGTAAGCAGTTAATTTGAAGGTATCAGAGCGGAAGTGTTTTGGTTTAAACCCTGAAGGGCTTATTTGAAGACAAGAAAGTCAAAACTCAGTTATATGGAGACTCAAAAAAAAGGCCATCTGATTCTTAAGATACTGAATTGAAGCCACAGTCACAGTAAGCCCTATAGAGATGATAGAAAAAGCAATCAGTTCTGATGAAGAGTCACTGGAACTAAAATGTTAACTATGCTTTCTTCCCACAGATGATGCCAGATCTATTGAATTTCACCAGCAATTCCTATTTTTGTTTGAAAATGCAATTATCTATGTTGTGAGTACTGTAAAGGAGTGCTGTTGAGCTTAATGCGATTGTTTTTTACCATGTTTCAAAACCTTTAACTTTGAGCTTTTTGTGAGCAGTTCGGGTTATTCTATTTTGATTTTCATTTCCTGTACATAATAAACTGTTTTATTGCTAAGGCCAAATCTTTTTTTAATTCACCCATGGGACGTGGGCATCGCTGACTGGCTGGCCATCCCTAGCTGCCCTCGAGAAGGTGGTGATGAGCTGTTTTCTCTCCATGAGTTGTAGGTAG